ATACTTAACTTATAATTTAGAATGTGGTGGCAAATATGATATGTTTAATCATATGCACATAGATGGCGCTAACCTTCCTCACATGACCTTTTTGGTGTGTCTCTTTGTGGTTGATTTCTAGAAGCTATTGCCGAAGAAAGCAAGCACTTTGCCTCCCACTGAACTCATTGAAGTTGGGAAGCAGTGCTTGAACAGTTGAAGCCTACTACAATGGGTCCAAAAATGGGGACCCTACCAAGCAACAAGGTTGTTTATTACCTTGTCATCCAGACATATGGATCTTGCTCATAAAGGATGTATCCATTTTTACGGGCATTATTCGTTTTTCTTTAAAGAACCGTATTTCCCTAAGTCAAATTTGGAGGTACCCTATCTTGAGACAAACCCATATTAATCCTAATAGCAAGATGTTTTGATTGTTTGCTTTGTGGATCAGCTTATTCAAACAGGACGTCACGATCTGCCAATTCATTAGATTAGTTTTAAGGAACAAGTTTTTCAGGAAACAAAGAACATCATATTTTGCTAGATGGGGATGGGTCAAAACCTGGTACCCCTGTAGTTCACATCAAAATAGCTGGGATTTATGGATGTTCATCCCGCTAAAAATGGTATTAATAGGTATTGATCCATACCCAGATGGGAAACCATACTGGTCACGGAAGTTCAGCCAGGTCCGACAGGTCTGACAGGTTTGGCAGGTCACTGGCTCTGTCCTGCAGCAATTTGATCTCCAGGGATGTGCACTCCACGATGAATCCGCTGCGTCCATGATGTTGGGTACATGATTGAAGTCACAAATATGGTACATAGCTAATATACACAATGCATTTGTAATATGATAACATACAAATTATATGTCTATGTATTATAATGGTGTATATATATATATATATACATATGAGTTGAGATTGAGACACATCAAGGTTGAGTCCGATGAAGTCTTGCAACTTTTCACTTCCAACTCTGGGTGTCTTGGAGTTCTTCCAGCGCTCGGGTCACGGGTCGGGGTTGTGCGAAGACGCCCAGAGCAAGATGCCAGCTATGCCTGCTATGCCCATGGACGATTTTTCGATGATCAAGCCGCTTGGAGCCCACATTGGTCACGGAATTCGCATGTTTTTTCTTGGGGTTCGGAATGGCTATCATTTGTTCCAACTCTAAGAACTCTAAGATATAAAATCATGATTAGTATTGATTAGTGATCGTAATTCAAGTGTGATTTTTTTTTTTCCCACGTTTTGTTGGGCCCTGGAACCAATCCCAGGCCAAGTACACCCAGAGAGGCTTGGAAGAAATTGGACAGTTACTTGCAGTTGTACTGGTTTCACCTATGTGATGTAGATTCCGCTGTTTCATGTGTTTTTTGCTGCCGTTCCGGATATTTAATCTATCATGATTATCATGTAGTCTCTGCATCCGAGGATATTGGAATGGGTTCCACCACTGACACATGGAGGTACGCCACGGGAAAACAGCGGTTTGATGGGACCTCTACCAGTTTTTCATGGAGGTTGCTTATTGGAGTGGGAAAGTACAAGGTTATTTGGACTGCTTTGTTGTACCCCGCTTGAAAGGCCAAACATTTGTGGATTTCACTGTCTAGGAGAAAAGCTGCAAAAAAACGAACATTTTGAGTAAAGCTGGTATATTCCTTTTAAACAGCATAAAGGTTGTGTTTCCTTAGCTTGATATCTATCTATATGCATGTTTCTTATACAGATATATACATACGATTAATCTATATTTCTATACCTAAGTTATTTGTCTATACTTATCCATCTTTATCTATTAAGTGATCCATTTGCTCTATCATTACATATATATATACATATATATATATATATACATATATACACACATCTCTACGACTCTACATATCTCTCTATTTTTCTTTTTATATATGTATATTGATCTATTCAATATGATATCATCTAGTTCTCTCTGATATCATGTGTTTTTTTCTTGCATTATCGTATCTATCTTATCTATCTTATCTATCGTATCTATATATATATGTATATATTATGTAAATTATCTAACTTACAGTATCTATATTATTTCTTTTATGTTTCTTTTTTATTTCATTTATTCTTCCTTTGTCGTGTCTTATCCTGTCTTATTCTATCTAATTATCGATCTAACTCTTATGTACTCCAATCTATTAAAATCTAATCTAATGTAATCCAATCAAATATGCATGTTCTATCTATCCATCTATATGGATATATATATATGTATAACATATTCACGTATTTATCTATCATATTACCGAGCTTCCCCGGCCTCGCAGGAGCATGGAAGACAACCGCTTCTCCCCAGAGTTGAGAGGTGCTTACATAGGATGATATATAGCTTTGACAAACAAACAGTTCATAAAAGTTCAAGAGTAAAGACTGGGTACATAAACATATATAAACGGGAAGTGGGAATCTAGTGAGATTTCATGGATTTCCAACTGACCAAGTGTTAACTGTTAGCTGCTAGAACGCCGACTGGTTTGGTGGCTTAAAGTTGACGGGATTTACCTGACTTTGCCAACAATGAATATTGGATATATATCCACAATGAAATGACGATATGGCAAACGCCAAACACATCTGTTTGGCAGGTGGTTTTTTAGATTTGTTTATTTTCAGGTGTCCATCCAACAAGCCAAGTGGGATGTTCGTCCCCATTAACATTCATACTGTTGGGACGGGTGGCGGAACCAGAAGCCTACGATACCAGATATTACCATCTTTGACACATGAGGTACAAACCATTAACGCTAGTGACGGACGCTTAAAGTGAGGAAATGATGAACAACAATCGGAATATATCCTGGCAGTATGTGAATAGGTCAAGATGCATGATTTGTCAATCTTTGAGTATAAGATGAATATCCAGGGATTTTAAGCTGTTTTCCAGTGCACCAGGGTCTGGACCGATACCCATATCGCCGTATTTCGGACCCAGTGAAGGGTTGGTCAATGTGTTCCTTCGTGTATATCGAAACATGAACCTTGGCTGTTCTCATCGACATTTACCAACCATGCATGGGATATGGATATGAATTGATATGATATGATATGATATGATGGCCATACCATGATGTACCATGATTTGCTAAAGATTTTTTTTTGCCCAATGGGAAATCCAGTACTCGTACAAAGTTACGTCGGGAATGACTCATTGGGAAGCGACTTCTTCTCCCCGTTGGGATGACATGACCGTTTTTCGCCTTGGAAGCTTCAGTGGAAACTGGTTACCATCTGGTTATGACTCACAGAAATAGCCATGGAAAATCCCCAAAATAGCCATGGAGGTTTAGTTATAGCTGGGAAAATCGAATCTATTTCGATTAGGGCCATTGTCCATGGCGAACTGTTGATTCATCGAAGGCTCTTGGAAAAAGCTCTGAAGCTCCAAGCAGCGTAAAGATCCCAACATCAATAGGATAGTGTGGTCAAATTTGTTTGCATTCCGGTTATCACCTACGTCGCTGGAAAGACTTAATCGTTGATCGTCTTTCTCCATCTTTCTCCCCATAAGCCAATAGCATTTTCGGGTGCCGAATTTTCGGTTCTAATCTACCCGGCCTGGTAATTTAACATAGCTATTGGAAATCACCATGTTTAATGGGAAAATCCACTATACATAGCCATTTTCAATAGCTATGTTAGTTTACCAGAGGGTAATCCAGATGGTTTTCCACTTTGACTCCAGCTGTAGCAGCTATTTGGACCATCCCTCCTTGGATGGTCCGACCCATTGCGCGCAGGGGTCGGCGCCCCACCACCAAAGATGAAACTTGCAACAGAGGACGATGCGCCTTGGCTACGGTCAATCGTCCCAGTCAGCGCCATGGGTTTCAACGTCCCAGTGGGTTTCAAGGGCTTTTTTATGTTTTTTCCTCCCCAGCCACAATAAAAGAGGCACATATTTTAATATGAATTTACAAGCCAGTGGATTTCGTGGTAATTATATAGCATAATTTAGCATCATTTGATATAATTTGCATGTAAGAAAACCTGATTTTCAAAGCTTCCCTTAAATGGTGATGACCGTAGCTTGCATGTCAATGAGTGTTCAGGGGTCGTGGTGATTTCTTTATCTTTCTTAGCATTTCTTTGCAATGATTGCATGCTGCGGCTCACTCCGACTGTTCTTTTTCCCGCCTGAATCTTTGAAGGCATAAGATAGATATAGATAGATAATTCAATTAATTGTTGCACACTGCAAGCCATGTCTTTGTGGAGTGCAGGTATTCTGCTTATTTTGAGGAGATTCTTTGTGGACACATGTACCTAAGGTCTACCGCAACTGTCTTTTATATGGGTTTGTTCGAAAATACGGGATGTCACAAATAGCCAGTACAATAGGGAACATGAATTTCAAATCTATTGGAATTGGCCCGGGGGTACAGTAGCCTATTTTCAGATAGACCCATATGCCTTAGTCAAAGTTTCAGACCACCACGGCCATTTTCAGCAGACATCCCAGTTGGGGCTCCCCACTTTGACCACCCAAATCATGTTACTGGTAAATTGACCCACTCAAACCTATATCCAGCTGCTCATTTTCATGTTTCTTAAGATTCTAATATATTTTAATCTTACTGGTGCTAGTAAGTAGGGAATTTTCGGGAATGATCCACTGGCTAACTATCAATGATAATCCCAGCAACCCCCAGCAACCCATCCATTCCCTGCGTTTAGCACCAGTAAGTAAATGGATTTTAAACTGGTTGGTAGTTTGGAACATTGTTTATTTTTCTCATCATATTGGGAATGTCATCATCCCAACTGACTTTCACTCCATCATTTTTCAGAGGTGTAGGTCAACCACCAACCAGACAATAATTAACCATTATTAACCATCATTAACCACCATTAACCACCATTAACCACAATTAACCACCATTAACCAGTAAGTAAATGGATTTTCATATCTTTTTGGCATGGATTCCCCCGATCTCCAGTTGATCCCGCCATCCCGCCACGAAAAATCAGGAAGTGATGCAGGAGTTTGTCCAGTCGCACTTGGTGAGCACCTTGAATCCCATCCACGAGGCAGGCAGTTGTGAAAACGCGCCAATTGAAGGTTTCCAAAAACCACATTCAAAGCACAAATATATTTCATGATATGTAACTGTATTTAAGGAGGGGTGGTTGTCAGTTTATAGTTTATATGGAGTTATCATGGAGTTATATGGAGTTATATGGAGTTATATGGAGTTATCCAGTTATCCAGTTATCAACATTTCGTTGACCGCAACATGTCGTCCACTGGGCCACTGGGCTTGGGATCATCCCTGAGGTGATGTCTTTGGGTCACCATTGGGCCGGCTCAAGTTTCAGCAAGACTCAATGGCCATTAAATGTTTTTTTTTTAAAAAAATTGAGGTTTATATAAACCTTTAAACTGTCAACAACATTAAAAATAGATGTTTATATTAAAACCTTTGAGGTTTATATAAACCTTTATACATGTCAGGATTACTAAATAAGTTCAGGTTGTTTTAATTTAACGTTGTTTTAATTTCAGGTCCAAGCAGCCGACATATTACCTGTAAAACCTGGCTGGGGATCTCCCAGCTGGCTGGAACTCGATCCAACTGGCTGCTGGCTGCATGCCCAGATGTGAAGATTCAGTATAATAAGTGGTGAAGCCAATGACTTGTTCATTTTCTTGGATTGGTTCATGCCTCCGGGGAGAGTTCTTCCGAAATCAGACATCTAAAGATGCCTCCGATGTCCAGTCAGAAGTTGCTGGTTTTCTTGGCTTCAAATCATGAGAGCGACCACCTCAACTGACTAATCAGTGATATGATGAAACCATCAAGCAACATAGTTAGCAGTGATCACTACTCAATCACACACAAAGAAACAGAAGAGACAGCCGGTTTTATGAGCCAATTTGTCACCAGTCCCAGAGACCAGATGGTGTAATATCAGCAAGACAACCAAATTTGTGGGCCCTACTACTCGCAAATGGATATTGCTGGTATTTTTAGTTATTCTCAAGCATTTGGCACCCATTTGAGAATTGTGCAAGCGGCTGCAAGGATCAGACCCTTTGTCCGCCAGTGAAAGTCTCAAGTTTGATGTCCGTTCTGAAGATCCTCTTCTTACTGGTGCTTAGTAGGGAATGGATGGGTTGCTGGGGGTTGCTGGGATGATTATTAGTAGTGATTATGGATCATTCCTGAAAATTCCCTGCGTTTAGCACCGGTAAGTCTTGAGCAGTGCCTCTTTTTTTCTTGTGGCTTTCGTCTGCTGCATGTCGGTAGGAAGTCTCGTGCATTCGCAGCGTGATGCACGAGATTGAGGCGCCGTAAGATAGCACCGCTGGGCGATGTGGCCGATGGGAGAAATGCAAGACTTGCGGGTATGATAGGGACATAGAATGTGGGTAAAACATGGTAAAACAATGTCATAAACCACCCACGACTGGGAATGGTAACCATACCACCTACTTGTATAAAAATGTATTAAAAAATAGTGAAATTGGGGATGCTTTATGGCATTGTTTTACCACCATAGGCCCTTGGATAGCAACACGCAGGGGATGATTGATACATGATCAGAATCTGGAGTGCTTAGCTTTAATTTTTCTCCAGTTTGCAGATGCAGCATACTGAAAATCATGAAATTATGACATGGAAACTCAGACATTCAAGGATTTGAGAATGTGGGTTCATGTTATATATGATATATATATATAGGATATGAATAGATAATTTTATATACAAAACTCTACCATTAATAGTTTCTATTGTTGTTATATACCATTCCTATGTATACCATAACTATATACCATTAATAGTCGGTTGAAATCTATATAGCTTCCAAACATGACTTATGATTTCAACCGACTATGTCCTTCGTTTCCAGGGCCGTGTGACGAAGTTCGCCTCGCAGATTGCTCGACAAAGTGCGCCGGCAAGGGCGGAGTGGTGACCGTGCTGGGGATTATCATCACATGGTATCATGATCACTGTATTATAATAGTATTACTATATCATATATTATCGTATTATTATATGATCAATCTAATCATCATCATCATCATCATCATCATCATCATCATATGAATATATATATATATATACACTATTATTATGATTATTTTCATATAAATCATATAATCTATTATTATTGTTAATCCCTGGTTCTAGTATTTAATGATATGACTTAATCATATATTTTTGTTAGGTATCTATTATCTACTATTATCTTGGAGTCATTTATTGATTAGCTGTATCTGTGACTATGTGAGATGTCCGAGGGTTACCAGGCACCTATGAACCACTGAGCTAACTCCACGGCCCACTCCATGGGAGGATGCTGTATGTATACCCCAAAATGTCAAACAGAATGAGGAACGTGACCACAAACCATATTAAACCATATTATCATGTTCGGGTTGCAAATCTTGAGACACACCCACCAGGTGTTATATGCATGATTGAACTATGGGGGTATCTCTCTCCTTTTGTCACTGGAGTACCTTCAACCACCAACCACATCCTACTTTGGAAGGCTATCTTCAAGGTGAGACTCCTTTGTGTTTTTGTTTCCACAATGTCTTCAGTCGAAGAGTCGAAGATGTGAGCACCACATGCACTACCAAACAAGCGCAGCACTGTGGCACTGTGCAATTCGCCAGGTTCACTTTTTTTTTGTTTTTCTCCCCTCCCCTTCATTCAGGGCCTTTCAGGGCCAGCTGCCGGGGGCCCCCAGGTACCAAGATGGAGGAGCAAGAACATGAACTTCAAAATCTGAACTCTGCCATCGCCGCCAAGGTGCACACCGCGGTATCACTGGATGGCGATCATCACCTGGGCAGCCTGCTCGTTTTCTGCGGGATATGTCATGAACCATCATGTTTTTTTTTGCATATTTGTAGATTAACCACATAACCACATGAGCCATCAGTAGCCATGAACTTGGTGATTTGAAACCAGGCTTAAAATAAACATATCTTTAACTTATCTTGATGTTGGATGTTTTTTTCCAGGCGTAAAAAATGTTTCAGCTGCCATTGTTTTTTTTAAACGCCGGATGCTCCAGGAGTCCCGCATGACAGCCATGCACCAGTTGATTTTGGCGACGCGCGCAGAGAACGCGGATTTGCGAGGTGGGGGATGGCCATGCTCAGGGGACCACTGGAACATGCAGTTACGAATACATCCATGGCTGGCAGCATGGGGATGGGATTTCATGGGATTTCAGAAGGGATTTCATGCGATTTTTGGTGGATGGGTGCACTAACAAAAACATAGATGGAATCAAAGTTGGGCAACGTGTTGGTTGACCTTGAAGTGAAGCTATGAATGTGCTGATGCGATTTTTCTGGACTTCTGGATGTAAAGATATCATCATCCGGCCAAATCATGGGTCAGACTTGGAGTGCCGGGGCTCAAGTTCTCAGCCAATGTAATGGGTACATAACTAAAATTCATATAAATGAAACGGGTATGCTGAACACGGTGTATTCCTCCTTTTTTTTGTAGTGAACATGATGAATAAGAAGTGGATTTAGGGTTCCTTAGTTTCGGGCATCCATATAGTGCAATGCAGAACATCCTGGAACAAAGTGTATGCTTAGAATTATATGCAACGCACATGAAGCTGTCTATCAACAAATATTAACATGTCCAACATGCCAGCAACAATCATCCGGAAACCATCAATCAATGCGATGGACATAACAATAACCACTTTGACTCCACTGGTGCGCCATTTTGGGTCGTCATATCCACACAGACCATCTTTGATGTTTTGGAACCCTGAATTGGTTTAAGGGAACATTTACAACCCCCCCGATTTGATTTATATATTATATATATATAACCTTATAGGTGGCTGTGGATCAATACCTAGAAATTCCCATGGCAATCGGGATGGCTGAACATCCAAATGGAACACCGAGCTATTTTGAGCTGAACTTCATGGGATTTCATGGGTCTTGATCTATCCGTAGGAACACTTATCATGTCAGGCAACACCGACAGCACAAAAGCGGCTCTGGACAAGGTGGATGACAAATGGCAGGCGTGGAGTCAGCACTTCGTCGGAGTGATACTTCAAAGTGGTGCCCAACATTCCAACAGACAAGCAATGCATGACATCATATGAGGCTTTCTTAAAATGGAGGATGCTCAAAATGATCCAAAATGTATATGGTTTACACAATGGCGAATCCTTTTAGAATTGATGATTTAAGGGTACCCTCTGTAGCCCCAATCTTAGGAACTCCATAAGGGTACCATCAATGATCCAATTCTATGTGCTGCGGGGCCATGCTGCAACGAATTGTTGGTGGTTTCAGGCTTCAAGATGTTTCCAGTCTTCTGTATGATTTGCTGAACATTAAAATCTATATTTTTTCCAATATGGGAAACCCACTACTTAGGGAACCTATGGGGAATATGTTGTATTTTTTGAGGGTTCCTTAAGCAAATCCAAGTTCTTCAATTGCATCCCAGTAAATATCATCCGGTTGGTGGTTTCGAACATGTTTTATTTTCCATAATATTAATCCTTCCCATTGACTTTCATATTTTTCAAGATGGTTGAAACCACCAACCAGTACCAACCAGTCATTCATTGAGATGGGTTGAAAACACCAAGCAGAAAAAAACATGACACATGATGCAGCTGATGCATACTGGAAATCGGGTTTCCTCATTAGCCAGTCCCCTTTGAGACAGCGACTAGAAGATGTGCATCCAACATCATTAGATCCAAGTGGCTTTGCTTGAAAATGGTGTACTCAGAAATTTGATGCTTTCTCATCCCCATTAAAATCATGAAAGCTATACCGAGTAGCTCGCGGTTTTTGGCCCATTTTCAGACACACTTACGGCTGACCAGCTGTGTAAAAAAGCACTGTGATCGCAGCACCGTGATGTCGCAGGGCACCCTTGGTGTTCTGCAAAACCTGCAGCTCCAGCAAGACAAGCAAGCTGCTGAGATCAGGACATGGGCTGGACACGGCTGGACGAGACGCAAAATGCGTGGCTCGAAAACCAAAAAAAATCCAAGGAGCGAGTTTGATGATACAGCTAAAACGTACAATAACTATAGGCAAATAACTATCTAACAATAACTAATTATGCGGGATGATTGAATGATTAACTAGAAATGACTATAAAGGTATTACCCTCTGGTGTCATCAAGCACGGCTTGCTGGGAAACCACCTGTTTAGTTCGATGATTTTCACAGCCAGAACCTTCATTTAGTTCGGGGATTTCTCAGCTAGCCACGTTTGAGGACACTGGAGGGCAATCTCAAAATTCATCGATTTGTTTCTGGCATGCTTACCTGAGATTCATGAAAAATTGTTCCATGATTTACTCACTCATACCAACCTGTTTCCGGCCGCTAACCTACTGCCAAAGTTCAGTTTTGAGCAACCAAGATGAGATAAATGCATATAAATGCAAACTTGACCAACAAGCATACAAATACACTTAAATGCTGGAAATGGGGCAGACTTAAAGAACCCGTGCTCCATAGATTGACCGGTCATGTTTAGAACTTGCCAATTCCTTTTGTGGGCACCCAACTTTTAGAGATACTGTTACCTCCTTTTGAACGACCTTGTTAGACTTCTAGGTAAGACAACCATCATTGAGGACCCCAAACAACTTGGTGGTCTCCTTTGTTGCGTTGCCCATGTTGAATTCACAACTCGAGTCCGAATGCCCCATTGTCATGGTTCAACCCCATGCATGGATGATTGAATACTAACAAGTCCGAAAAGCTGTTCTTCTTGGCTTTGATTTTGACCAAACAACCTTTGAAGCTTGAGAATCTGCCGCGGATGCTCTTCCAAACCAACCACAAGCTGTTTGGCTTGATTTTGTTTTGCATTAGCCAACTAGAACTGAAAGTCATTCCATCATATTCCATCACTTGGCAAGTGATTAATATATTTAATATTCCAGGCTAACTACAATGAAGGGCTTGACCATGGTTGACCTTTTATGGCATCTTTCAAGCGTCGTCCTCTAAGATCCGCTACTTAGTTCCATCCAGATCATTGGATTGAAACATTCGGCAAAACATCTGTTCAAGCAATTTGCAAACCAGTGTTTTGGCTATTGAAACCAAGAATCATCAAGAATCATCAAGAAGCATCAAGAAACCATAGTTGTGTTTTTGCTTTTTTCTAAGCACATTAGAAAAAAACATAGGTGTTCCCTATCCAGCCCTTGAAACCAAGTCAGTCAATCGCCAGGAAATTGTACCACACCATCCAAGCCTCAGTGCCTCGGGTAAATTAGATAACGACCGAAGCCTGGAATCATGGTGAAAAAAACATGGGGAATCATCCCTGTTGATTGCCTTATAAGTTTCAGGTTAGTGAGAATTAAATTAGTTCATTTGCCCAGATAAATATCCTGTGGTGGGGTGGGGTGGATCATATGTTTTTTTCAAAATATATGTTGATCATTGTTGATCCATGTTTTTTGAAGGGGTAGCGGCCATTTTGAGATCGATATGTGTTCCAGTCAGTGAATGCCCAACTTATTTCAATCAGTTGAGTTTTGCACACGGAAAGTTACCGAAAAAAAAAGGTGGGTGCCCCAAGAAATCCCCAAATCCTTCACCTTACGCAGGGCTGTTGCAGTCCTGAAGTCGTGGAAACTTCAGGATCAGAAAGCTTCTGACCTCTTGGACACGCGTTTAAACAACTTGATCCTTGGACTTGACAAAAAGGACTTTCCAATGCGGGAATTATTACAGGTCAACCCCGGATTTGTCTGAAGACCCCGGGGCTGTTTTTTCTTGGGGGATTTGGGGGTGGTACCAATGTTAATGGCATTTGCGTTCATCAAACTGGGGGGGGCAACCCCCCAGTTAATAGTCAGGGTCTATAAATCCAGGGTTGACATTATGCTTCGTAGAGGCCATTCCCTCTGAAAAGGGAAGGCCTGGCTCATGGCGGATCTTCAACCACAATGCTCTTGATGTTTTGCACAATTGCACTTGTAATTTGAAGCACTCCAAACATGTTTTTTTTCAAGATGATGTCTTATTGAATATGGCAATGGGGTACATTACGTGTTTTATGTGTTGGCACTCTGGCTGAGAATTTACTTTGCAAAATGGAGCATGTTTGCAACGGTACTCATGGAGTGCACCGCTTACATTATCATGGCCTGCGGACAGCTTGGGATTGTTTGAGTTCATGTGTTTTCATGATCTTTCATGCTATTTTGCTTGGAACATGGAACCTTTGGGAACCATTTAAACGTAAATGCACACTATACAGACTATACATTTGCATTCTTCATTTACCATTCTATCATATTCTATCCATTTCATCCGTCGCCACTTATCAATCTATTTGGATCTATTTGCTCGTTGGTGTTTCAAACATGTTTTTTACTTTCAACCCTAAAAACTGGATGATCACCCCGACTGACGAGAAAAACATGTTCAGATGGATTGAAACGATCAGGGCTTAGTATTCACCAATTTCCCACTCTGGTAATGAAAAAATAGGCCATCCCATTAACCATTTGGAATGGTTTAATTCGGTTTATTATTGAGTTGGTTAACGGGATGGTTTATTAATTAACCAACCCAAAATAGACCATCCCATTAGTGGGTTTATGATTGGGTCTACCAGAGTAACCACTCCTCAGTGGATTTTTGCCAAGCGCAAGGAACTCTTTTTGCAAAGAACTGTGCAACCAGCAGCGCGACATGGAGAACGCCATCAATACTCTCCGTGTGCAAGAAGACGAGACGCGGGACTGAAACCAGTTGGATCATCAGCGATAGGTTGCAAGTCACAAGCTCAACAGAAGGGGGGGTCCTATTAGGCTTGTGGAATTCCAGGATAATATATATATAATTATATATATATAATTATATATATAATTATATATATAATATGATTATATTGCTTATAGAATAGTGTTTGTTTGAAAGTGGAATCGATTGTGTGCACCATACCCTTTTGAGACGCCATTTCTGTATTTTGCTCAGCATGTAGTGAAGAAAACAAGTCTTGATCAAAGACTTGTTCAGGAAAGCTCACTTAAGTCAACTTACAACATACATGCTTTAGGCTTCTAGGACGGCAAAAAACGGCAGGAAAAGTTGAAGAATGCCGTTGCAGCGCATGACCAATTCCGACAGGCGGGGACTCCAATGCGGCAGGGTTTTTTTGTATTGGTTGTGGTAGCCGCATGAGACACATGAAATTCGTCCTTTTGACTACTCAACTCAACCATTTATCAACAATTCGTTAATCATTCGTCAACCTTTCAGCATTCGTCAACCATCCATCAAGCATTGTAGAATTTTGAAGCGATTGGTGATTTTGCTTAATTTTGCCCCATATGATCAGTACTGAATTCTGTTGAGGCTCCATCCCCACCAACTATTAATTCACAAGCGAAGCGAAGCGCCAGGATATAAAGTCGTTGAACTAGGCAGTTCTTCGATTCAGGCCTAGTTCCACTTAGATTATTTGGCTCTAAGGGATTATGCGGTTTTAATGGCTTCAAAGGTTTTGCGATTGAAAGTGGGTCTCTGGAATTTGATTTCTTTAGGTGGATCCATATGTATGCAGATTGTTTGGCAAGGAGCCATTATATTTGAATATTATTTGAATGTGTTTGAATTTAACTACTTCATTTTTTCTTAATTAAGTCGCAGATAAGTTACTTTTTGGCATCTAATTCCAGGACCAAGGGAATCATATCATATATATATATATTGATAGCATATCGTTACGCTCATTTCATAGCATGCAGGTGTATAAATGCGACGACTCCGAAGATGCACGTATACACAAGGTCTTGCTTTGTTTGATTTTTCTTGGGTTTTGCACGTACATTGATACTGGGATATGGTATTTTAATTCAAGGTGTGCAACATTCTTTCCAACACCAAACCAAAGGAATTGGAAGGAATCATGAAACTTAGTGCCAAACACAACATGAGATTAAGAGGCACGATATCAATAACTAATGAAATCTTAACCGCTTATCTATTTGGATCCAACCAGCAGGGAATCCATCCAATGGCAACCATCAGGATCCATTTACGATACAAAAAAAAGGATAGGTGGCGTTGATTAAATCTGAGGATCTCCCACGGGTTGAATAGATGATTTTCCCCAAACATTTTGCATTGTGCTGAACGCGCAGAAATATAAATATGTAATTTTCTAACCTTCTACAACGGGTTAACCCTAAATTAAAACATATTAAAGTTGATATCATTAGTTTGCATATTTTGTGGGTGGGCCTGTGCCGCCTGTATTGTGGGGCTGCAAGCCGGCAGCAAAAATAAGAACAAAGTGCGTCCTGCGGTTGGTAATGGGTCCTCAGATAGGCTGATGTTTTTTCGTCTTAAATCCGGGTTGAACGATCCCGAATTAATTGAACAGAAACCATCAAAAACCTATGGATTAATGCCCCAAAGCTTTAAAGCAACCCCCAAAAAATACCAAAGTGCGTCCTGCGGTAGATAATGGGTCCGGAGATAGGATGAATAAAATTTTATTCGTCCTAAATTCAAGTTCAACGACCCCGAATCCACTGAACAGAATCATGGAAATTAAGGAAATTATAGGTTTTCGTCCTAACTCAGCTGCGCGTTTTGTACCCCCGAGATCGGATCAATAATTTTTTTTCGTCCTATATCCAGGGTCTGAGGTACACTTCGTCCTAACTCAGCTGCGCGTTTTGTACCCCCCAAGATCGGCTGAAACCCATCTCAACCCCTGGATTTAGGATCGATAATTTTTTTTTCGTCCTAACTCAGCTGCGCGTTTTGTACCCCCTGAGATCGGCTGAAACTTGTTTTTTTTAGGGTGTGAGGTACATTTCGTCCTAAGTCAGCCGCGCGTTTTGTACCCCCCAAGATAGGCCGAACCCCGCCTCAACCCCAGGATTTAGGCTGAGTTTTTTTTTCGTCCTAACTCGGGGGGCGCGTTTTGTGCACTGGACAATCCCATTCAGCCCTCAGCATTGAACATATCATCAATATCGGATGTTTACCACAACTCTCTTGAGTTACATTTTATCGCGTGAACAGGATCTCAAACTAGAAATTTATGATAAAAACTTAGTGAACACTTATGATCATTCAGCGGCGTACTGTACTTTGCGCCGTCGTGGCATATAGATCAACATATTGTACTTTGCGCCGTCGTGGCGTCCAAAGCTTGGATTCATCAATATTTAGTTGCATTAAAACCAAATATTCATACTATATTCAAATACATCATTTAACAACTTGAAATAGGAAGCTTTGATGACATAACATCTACTCAAAATAATGGACCTGGAATAAACATATATATATATATATATGGTACACACACATATATATATATAATCGCCGCATGATACTGGGATTCTTTCAAACAAAAAATGAGGCAAACATTCGAAAAACAATATTTGGAAATTTAAATGGGGAATGCATTTGCAAGTGTTGGGGGTTTAAAACGTAAGGAGAGAACCAAATCCAAAACGAGGGGGGTGGAATCCTTAACGGTGGAACCCATATAATAAAATCTGATGAACGAACGAGGAAATAAAGTCTGACATGGGAAAATAATGATGAATATGAAATTGAAAACGTTCGGGGATAGTCTAGAATCTAGATGGATATATAACTGGAATATATATGGGGCCGTTATAGTAAATATTATGCAGCGGGCGATTTTGAAAACAAATCGGACTCCAGAAGTCTTGTTCCGGGAAACCAGAACGGATCAGGATACAAATATATCTCCCTAGCATTTAGTACGACGGAAAACTTGGATATATATATATATATATAAAATAAATTTTACAGTATCTAAAACCATGACTGCAAACTAGAATTCAAACCCCAAATCAAATTCAAACAGCCCTGAATCAAATACAATTCCTTTTCAGTTTGATAATCCCTGGTTAAAGGATGTTAAGTTTGCTTGTTCTAAGTCATCACATGTCGAGCCACTTGGATCACGCCAGGATGTCATCGAAAAGTTTGGGCTGCGCGACGTGCGCACCAAAGCCATTGAGGCCAAGTTGAGCACACTGAGCCAGGCTGGGGGTTTTTACCGACGTGATCAACCAGGGTACCCCGGGTACCATTCAATACCCCAAGAGTTTTTCGTGCGAAAAGTGGGGTCTACCCGGAAATATGAAGTATATATTATATATATACATATGTAAATATCATCATATACAAAATCCTGGAAACACTTTAACTAGTTTGTGGGGGATTATATTGCTATAGTTTTGGACTTCATGGTGACAGTAATTGGGGATATGCATGCATATGTTCTGTTGCTTAACAGCAATGGTTTTTGCTCTCCAGGTTATCTAATAGATTGACATCGATTGACCATGGGCTGATGTTTTCTTGGTTGAGTTGTTTCGCGAGGTTCAGGGCAGTGTTGGCGTCTTTGAGCTCTTGCTAAGAGGTCAAGACTTGCAACACTTCCACATGGCCAGTTTGGAGTCAACAACTTTGTACAAAGTGGGGCCCCCAAACGATAGCGTTCAGTTGGTTTATATCTCCAATAACTATGGTTTATGGTACCTATAACTATAGTTTTCATGGGGTTTATAAACCATCTAACATCACTGGGGGGCCCCACCTTGGACCTGTCGGATCCTAACGGTCGGATTTCGCTGCCCAGATGGCCCTTTTTTTCAACTGCCAGGAGATCGAGAAACCCATCGCGTGCCATGGCATCAGCTGGTTTTGGTGCTGCCAAAAAGGGAGTGCAAAGAGTCCAAGGGTAGCTGATTTTGGTTCCAAACATGTGCTTGAATATGCATCTCAGCGAAGAAAAACTGCTTGAATCTCCCTAGTAACTTGTTCTTAAACATGCAACTATAGATAGATAGATGGATACATGGATGGATACATGGATGGATGGATGGATGGATGGATGGATGGATGGATAGATAGATATAGATAGATATATACGTATAGATTGGTGCGAAGATATCCATATCCATGTATTCCACGTGAAGGCAGAAAGCAAATTCTTGCAGGAGCTGCCTGCAATGAGACGTTTCTAGCAAAAAGAACCATTTCTTTGTAACGCTAGCTTTCATCTTGTTGTTTTTTTTCTGTGTAGCTCCAAGTTTGGCAACACAAGATGTTCAGTTCGTGAAAATCTATGTCCCCCTATTTGGTAGAGGACCTCGGAGCCTCGCCACCGTTTTGATACAGACACCCTTTTTGGGAGACTGATCCTCCAGAGTCCAACATGGTGAGAATCCACATGTTCAATCAGTAAAGCAAATCATCCACAGATGGGGGATATTCTCGTTCTATGTTGTAATAAAAAGAGGCTACTGTGAGAAATTTCGGAAGTGCCGAATGCTGAGGAACCTTCGGGCAACTGACAAGGAAGTGCAGCACGTGAAAGGCCAGTTACATCCAGTTACCACCCGCGAGTCCGCTGAATCATGGTCAACCATCATCTTGCTAAGTAAGTCTTACTATATATCATGACTATCATGACTATCATGATTCTATCATGATTCTATCATGATTCTATCATGACTATCATGAACATCACCTCCAGCAGGCAAAGTGGCCATTTTGGAGTCTCAGAATTTCCACAACCAGACGCTGGGCTCCGGCGAAGCTCAGGGAGGGCAACAGAATATACCCTATGGTTATGACTAACAGTTTGCCATGGAAAATCCCCATGCTATTAATAGGTAAACCAATGTAAACCATCTATTTCTATGGGCCATCTATACCATGGCTATGTTAGTCATAACCATAGGGTAAGGACCATTTGTTTGCCAATCTTTGGGACCAAAGATGGAGTAAAACTTGGACAAATCATGAAACATACAGAGGATTCATGCGTCCGATGCAGGGCTACCTTCCAAACTAGCTCTTTGATTGGCCACGGAATTAGCTAAGTTTCTTCCTTTCAGAGGGGGCGTCCAGAACCCTAGTTATGCATCAGTGTCTGTATATATATATGTATTATATGTTATATAAATATGATATCATATCATATATCTATAAACATATACACACATAAATTAAATTCAATTAAACTATCTTATATCCGCTGCATCAATATTTCTCTTGGTCGACGCCCACGGCACCACCGCGGCCAGCGGGCGGTCGACTGAGGATCTGCGAATTGGTCGACTCGCTGAAGGACTTCAGCCGTCGTTTGGCCACTGCCGAGGAGGAAGTGGTTCAGGTTGGGGGAAGCAGCTGGCAGTGGCTTGAACTATCTTGAACTTCTGAAGCATGGATCCAGTTAGACATAACTGGTTGGTGGTTTGGAACATGGCTGGATTATGACTTTGCATATATTGGGAATAATGATCCCAACTGACGAACTCATATTTTTCAGAGGGGTAGGTCAACCACCAACCAGATAAAGATGTGGGGTGGAACGGTGGAACTAGCAAAAAACACCTGTCTGAAAATGAGGAAATTCACCAACCACATGGGGTGTGGCAAGATTTTTGTTGTACACCTGTTTTTCACAGCTGGCACAGTTCATTCGGATTATCCCTCAAAATCCATCAAAATACTGGGAACCAGCTGGGTAACATCTGGGTACCAGCTGATCAATTGGGAGGTAAAAAATGCTGGGCCAAGCAGGGGCATTTCTTGGGATTGAAATGGCCAGGGCAGACTACCTGAATGACGAGTCTTTGAAGATGTTCAAGATGTACATAGTACGTAGAATCACCAGGTATATACTGGGTGTTTAGTCCGGAGTATCACCCTTTCAGCATCAACCATTGAAGTCTTTGACTTTTGTTGATCCAAATACTTGGCATCTTGACATCTTGACATCTTGCTGCGTGTCGCAAGCTTTGGCAACGTTCGATTTCTTGCGAGCATTCTTGGGCACCAAGAGTTTGCTACATCGAGTTCCAAAGGGCCAAAGGGGTGATCTCTTCCCGACTCAGCGCAGGAAACTAATATGTTAACAAGGGGGTTTTCCAGTTCATATACATTTCAGTTAGGTCATGAAGTTTGTTCCACAATGTTCCACATGTTTAGCATGTTGGGTGTATGGCCTATATGACGTATGTGACCGGCCAAAATTGGAAGAGTGTGTGTAGATTGATTGGTCACATCTCCACCATTTTGTTGATTAAAATATCTCTATACCCTGTTTTTGCTGTCTAAGCCCTCCACGTGTTTCCATGTTTCAACATTTTCGACGGTGAACCCTTCAAACCAGTCTATGTTTGGTCACCCCAAGTTTTTCTGGTCAACCTGAAGTTATTTGACGGTTTAACTGTTGAAACTGATTTAAATGAATCCATTATTTATCAAGATATCGTTTAATCCCAGCATCATCCCAACGCACCATTGAACATTGAAAATTCCACAAACAAATAGTACGAATTCGATGCTCATTGAGTTTGGAGATTTCCCATCCAGCCATGTTTGAGTTTGTTGGCGACATCCCCATTTCTTGCTGGATACATCATTGCATGATAAATACTAATTATCCGTTAATTATCCAAAGTATCCCATAAAATATCATTTATCTCCTGTTGCTAAAAGCTACCATTATATCCCATTTATATGCCATGAAAAATCCCTACTCTTATATCCCCAAAAACCATCAAAAACCACCATTTTTGTTGGTTGAATCCTTATTGCATTGCAATTTATATCCCCATGTTCATCATTTTTGATTGCGATTCATGACTCACAACTAACCACTATTAACCAAATAATGATAACAATTATGATCATGGTTCACCACTATTATGGTTAATCACTATTTATATCCCCTGTCCTGTTCTTTATTGACACATTCTGTCCATGGTCCTTGTGACAGGTGCGTCGGAAGTCCGCGGAACAGTTCCACGTACGGGACAAGTTGCTGCGAAAGTTGGATGACAAGGTCGAAAGCACCAGTGGGATGACAGATTTTGGGCGGAAGAAAAGCCATGAAATGTTGGATGTTAGGTATGGCTCACTACAATATACACATATATTTAGTACATTATATATTATATAAATACGTATAACATTAACTATAGACATAATTATATATATATATATAACTTTATATATATATATAGAATTAATCTACGTATAATATTGTCCCTTCTATAATATACATGTGCTGGGGTACAGTTCAGGGGGTTATATAACCAACAGAAATGCTGCTTATATTCTTGGAACATCTTGGAACATAATCCAATAATGACCCAATGTACACATGCATGAAGAAGGCCCCTTATTGTTGATAATTTAAATATTCCTGAAAAACCTGGAGCGGATGTGGCATTTGTCTCCATAATAAGGCGTTTAACCAGTCCATATAGAAGAAGTGGTAATTTGCTAAGAAAGCAAGAAAGCCACAGGCAAAGAGATAAGAATCCACATCAGAAAAAAAAAACTGCGAAGGGACCTTTCAGAAAACTTTAGGAAAAGAAGCAGACAAAAGAAACGACCAAGTGGCCCGTTTAGATGTCATTATATCGCTAGTATTTTCCATCTAAAACTACAATTTTTCTTGCTTGAATCCCCAGGATGTATCAAATGTTGTCCCTATTATCATCATCATTCATCATTATATACAGTACCTATTATGTCCATATCATCATTATTAACCATTATTAACCATTATCCACACTGATAAACGCGTATTAACACCGATTAAACAGTCAAATACCTATTATACCCTATTATCATCATGATTATCTATATCACTTTCAACCAGTTTTAACCATTCAAACTAAGAAACCATCCCAATTAATTAGTATTGCTTAACAAACCAAATATTAACTGTTGATAATTACACAAATAGTTATTAACCACTATCAAATCATTAACCAATGATTCTCTAGTATGAACTATCAGCCAGATATTTGCCAGTCAAATATTTGCCAGCCAAATTTCATTCACAATTGTTAATCGCTATTACTATTAGCAAGTTTCAACTAATTACTAACTAGTATTAACCATTATTATGGATTATCTAAACATATATATACATATATGTATTATGTATCTCAATTATGTATCATCACTGTCATCATTAGTCACACTTATTAACCACTATGAACCTAGTCTTAACCATGGTTACACACATTTTACATTATTATCAACCATAAAGCCATTATCAACCCATTATCACTCATTATCAACCCACCAACCCACCAGGATTAACCATCATCAACCATGAGTTAGCCATTCACCTATGAAGTCTTCGAACTCGAACAGCGCCCTTGGATCCCTTGGCGGCCAAGGCAACGAAGCACAGCATGGATCTCGTGGACTTGAGTTCCACACAGAAGGCAGATATCGAACACCTGGCAGCGACCTGGATGCCTGAGATCGTGAGATCACGGGACCTGAAGCAACTCGTACATAGTATAGGTATACATGGAATCACATGGATATACTATGTATACTATATATGTATATGTTATACTGTTATACAGTATAGATATGTGTATCACAGTACTGTTCGCCAAATGTAACCTACTGATGGTTTAAACATGTTTAAACTGACTATCTGTTACTATGTAATCTACTGAATTGTTTTCTGACTTGTTGATTTAGGTTGTATGTATACATAGTCAAAATTAGTCAACTGGCTTTATAAGCCAACTTAAAACCATGTCAGTCATAACTAGGGCGTTTCCGGGGCATCACATTGTGCCAAAACTTTTTGTTTCGGTGATCGTTTGTTGCTGTTTGAGACTGCAGGATTTAACAATTTACCACCCATATGTGCTAAATTTCTTTTCAGAAACATGATTGACAAGCCCATTTGGTACTAAGAAACGAGAAATTGCTACCAAAAAAAAACACAATTGATTCTTAAGCGCTTTACCACGATGTTTTTCGCAGAACTTGGAGGCGTTGATTCGATATTAGTTTACCTTAAGTTGGATATTGTGGGAATCTCTCCATGGTCGACTTCAAGGACATCATTAAACCCACCCATCCTCATGGTCGGTGGTGAACCCCCCTGTCTCATCATGTGGCGCCGAGCGCGAGACGACGTCAGGTTGTTTAGACAAATTGATGTTGATAAAGCCATGTGATGTCTTATTAACATAAATGGGTATAAAACCTTTCAAACAATAAATAGTTGGTGGTTTGGAAGATGTTCTTACTTTTCCAATTGGGAAAGGACAATCATCCCAACTGACGAACTCACTCCATCATTTTTCAGAGGGCTAGGTCAACCACCAACGTGACAAGCTGGAAAATCCCCCAACCGAAATTCATGGAGCTTTGAAGTGTTTTGTTTCCGGGAAATCAACGATGGTAGAGTTGTGCCTTTGTTTCGGAAAGGCTAAAGTATCTATAGATTGAAATAGTTTCACTGGTGTTACCATGTTTAAATGTAAGATTTGTAAGTCCAAGAAATTCCAAGAACCATTTTTTTGGTTTAACCATGTTATTTACCATGTAATTAATTTATTTACCATGTTTTTTAAAAAAAAAAAAAACTATATGGGTATGGATCAATACCTATTAATACCATTTTTAGTGGGATGAACATCCATTTACCAGCTATTTTGATGTTCACCAGGGTACAAGGTTTTGACACACTGCCATATGTTAAGTCCAAGAATCGGCAGATTTGCTCCCAAGGCACTGCAGGCCTCGCTGGCACCGATCTTAATAAAGACCCGGCACACCGAAGAAGACCCAGGAGGTCCAGGTGGGACGAACGGCGAAGCGACGGTTGGACGGTGCTGGTGACGGTTGTTGGAAAGCAATAGGATCCACCCCTCCGGAAAAATGGTGATTTACCATAATAGGAAAATGGTGGTTTAATGGGATTTTATGGTGGTTTAATGGTGATCTAATGGTGATCTAATGGGATTATACCCTCCGGTAAACATACAAAAAGCTATTGAACATGGCCATAGACATAGTTGATTTACCCATGAAACATGGTGATTGTCCATAGTTATGTAAACGTTTACCAGAGGGGTAAATCTGGGTAAATTATAACGACCGAAGCCTGTTCTGCCGAAACCTGGCATCATGGTTTATTTTAGGGAAATCATCCCCAAATGGCCGAACTATTCATGTCAGTGAAATATTATGGCCTTTACCCAGATCAATGGCTGGGAGTATCAGCCATCTGAGAGAGATTTGAAAGATGTTTTCTTTGTTGGGATGTGACATGGTTTGGATAGATTGTGGTTCAAATAGTTTGAAGCCAAAATGTGATTTTTCGGGTGTATCAATACATGAAAACATGTGAAATGAAATGAGGATCCACCACACTTGGCGTTCATTTTTTTGGCGGATTTTTGCGGGAGAGGCTGGGAGGAGCTGTGATAAAACCTGCTTCATGTTGAGGAATGGAGGTTTCCTAAAATGGGTACCACCAGATCATCCAATTTTTGTTGACCATCTTAGTATTGAAACCCATGGTGACTTGGGGATCCCACATTTTAAGAACCCCCCAAATGTTTAGCAAACACATCATTTGACATTGGTAATCTCATATATTTGGACATATAGAATACGTAAAAATGGTCCTAAAACGTCACCGTAAAATGCATCCAATACCACCCCGGGCACCGGTGTCAGTCACACGGCTTGATCAAGCAGGTGATCAAACTGACCAGGGCCTATCCTTCGATGACGAATTGAAAGAACTGCGGGAGAACTACCACGGTTCCTCGGGACGGCATCGACGGCATCCGCCCACCAAAAAAAGCATAGCTTTGACGATGCAATGAGGTCTGAATTAGCCGATGTGATACGTTACAAATAAATTTATATTAATATGGAAATATGTGTATACAAATGCACTAGGATAAATGGTAATGTGATACTAACAGGTCATTATGTTTTCACGTGTTGAAACATGTGGTTGCTGTTGAGCTGTACGTTGCTCCGGTTTGTGACTTTTTGACTTGCATGAATTGAACGTCCTTTTGTGCCACCAAAGCATGGAACATCTGCATTGATCCTTAACTCTGAGATACTGTAGCTCTTGTCGAAACGTGCAACCCGTGATAGATTGGTTCCACTTGGTTTCCTCCATAGGTCAGCGTGATACGCTGCGACTTGGCTTGCGATTTCTGCAGCTTCATCGGGGCGGGGCAGGTTTGGTAGGATCAATGATTTTGGCGGCCTCACTGCGACCTCACTGGAATTATTCCCAACAATGGTTAGTAGGGGTAGCTAAGATGAACTAACTCAAAATAGCCGTAAATAGCCTTAATTCCGCTGTGTGAATTATAAAAAACTAATGTATAATGTACCCAGATATAGCCAGATCGAGAGTCTTGGGATGCCGCTCTCACATCCCAGGGACAAGTGCATCACCAAGTTGGAGATGCAACAACACCTTCTGGATAGCCGCTCGGTCGTATCTTACACCTTAAGAGGAACTGCATTGCTTCATTGGTTTCAAAAAAATACAAAATGGGTAGCCTTGAAGATTGATTGAATTTAACAAAACATGTTTTCCCTATGAAAATTGCCACATTGGGGGTATACCATGGTATACCGTAAACCCCCATTTTCGGACACTCCGAAGTATCATATATGGTTATGGGTGGAAAGAAGGTTTGAGGATCCTGGCCAGTTTCAGATTCTAGCCATTTGGATTTTCTTGGTACGTGTTACCGGCATCTTTTAAATCATGGTTGGTATTTGCTTTATGATTTTGCACTAGTTCTCGTTGTTGATGCAACCTTCTTTTGGATAGACTGGGCTGCCAACTGATGATAGCATCTAGAGTTTGACCTGCATCATCATATGTACTCATGTGTATACATCTTGGCTAGTTACAATGGTCATTGTTCCATTGAAAGAGGTGTGTCGGAACAAGTCACATGGCCTTGGAATCGGAACAATGCCCAACCCAAATCCCATGGTGGAAGATCCCCAACCCAATCTCCAATCTGTCTCCGTTGAATTCATTGGGCTTTCATGGCGAGGTTTGAAGCAGAAGGAGCAACGGGACTTTGACAGCTGCTTGGTGGTTTTTCAGGTTGCACTGCAATGGCATAGCATCAGCATGGGTATATACTAACAAGGCTGGTATAGCCAAGATTCCTCTAAGACATAACGTTTATCAACGTTTATATTGTATAGATCTGTATATATATATTATATTATATTTATACAACCATCCAAGATTAATCTAAGATAGTCTGTGATAAACTAACAGCTATGGACAACGACCCGTGTATAAACACAAAAATTGTGATTCTCGTGAGGCTCCGTAGCTATGTCAGTTTACTGGAGGGTATACAGTATACATGCTGTATATCATTTGGTTGGTGATTTGGAACATGTTTTATTTTTCCATATATGGGGAATAATCATCCCAACCGACTTTCATATTTTTCAGAGGGGTAGGTCAACCACCAACCAGTCATGATAATCATGTTTATGTAAATGCAAGCATCAAATAAACATATTGCCATAAATCATGACTGATATATTGATATATTGCCATATGATATTGCCATAAATCCAACCATCATGATATATTGCCATTTCCCATAGGATCCATGGTGCTGGTATATATGCTAACATAAAGGGGGTATATTGATGGGATCCATGTTACCATATATACCAGCACCATGGATCCGTCATGGGATATATTGCCATTTGGCAAGTCACCACCAAAAACCCTCTCGCGCAAGCCTCATTCCTCTCGCCACTCGCCAAGCCAAGGTTCGCACGTTCAAATCTCGGGACTCCAAGAAGACTTGGGCCTCTTGGCGAGTGGCGAGGGTCGTTCGGCCCGGCTAAGTGACCTCCAAAAACATGGCGTGGAAACAGAAACATCCAACATGGATATTGCTCCACCAAAAGGCCTACTTTTTTCCAAGGCACCACTAAGCCTTACCAAGCCAGTTTCCAACTCGCTTGATTTGTGGTTTTGGGATGTTTGGGGTTGAAAAGACCAAGGGGACCAGGAAGAATATCAGCAATTACATCCTTGTGGCCACGTGGGTTCAATGAGTCATTGGGTAAGCAGGAACTTTGTTCTCTTGAAATGTTCTGGCATGGTCCATTTGGTATATGATATGTCTCAAAGATGCTAAAAAAAAGGGTTCATAGGCCCAACACCTTTTGGTGGATCATTACTTTTTTTGTCATGGACATGTTGCAGTTTTTGAAAGTTTTTAGTGCCGATGTTCAGACAGACCCAAGACTCGGATTCATGGTGATTTTCATATGGCCGGTGATATTCCCAGAAAATGGCCCGGTAGCATCAACCAACTGGGTGTTTCACCCCCGAGAACTGATAGTTATGATCGTGAAAAAATCCATTTTGAGACTCATGAACAACTATCATAAATGGAATTTACCTTTTCATGAGTTATAGGATAACCATAGGACTATAACTCATGAAATTCCAGACTTTCTCATGATTTAAGTGCTGTTATCACTGTTATCCCAAGTTATTCCATATACTAAGCAGTGAGTTTTGTAGTCCTATGGGCATCCGCTTAGCAGTTTCTGTACGTTACGCAGGGGATCCTCCAAGTTCAACCTGCAGGTGATGCCAACGCATTGCTCACCAAGCTGGACGCGCGCGTCGAGCTCTTTGGCGGTGAGCCATTAACAATACCATGGTTGATGGCTTCATAAAGCGGTGCAGTAGTCCTACTGTGGATTTATGGGTTAGAGGATTCTACTACTATGGGTTATATAAGAGGAGTTTCTCATGTCCCATCTGCCCATCATTATCTTGGCATGGAAAAGTCACAATAATCCGAAAAGGATATGAGTGGATCCCAGCAGTGTGTCAAGCAGCAAGACTTGTCTTCAGTTCAAGGGCAGGCGTATTGAAACCAGCAACCACAACAGGATTTTTTGGTGTTTCCCAAAATTTCGGATCCTTATACCCTTTGGCCGATATAGAGAACATGGTCAACCGATCACTGAGTCACACTGCTAGCTTTGCATCCATTGAGGGTATATGAACATGATCAACCCCAATCAACTATGTATATATATATATAACTATATATATATATATAACTATATATAACTATATATATATATATAACTATTATATATATATAACTATATATAAAACTATATATACATGTTTAATATATATATATATACACAACTAATATATATATATACTAATATGTGAATATATATATATGCATATTTATATATACATATATATATATATATTTAGAGATAGTATAATACTGTATAATTATAACAATAATAATGATAATCTATATATGTATATATATTATATAGATATTCATGTAAAGTTTGCTAGCAAAACTTGGTAAATGAGTAGCACGTGGGTCACTGGTCCGCCAATGCGGTATGTGTAATTTTATCGTTTTTGACCCCTAGGTCCACAGAATTGAATGATTGGCCGAACATTGCCAAATATTGCCATTTCCATCCATTTCCTACATGTCCAAGCGGCAGTTGTCATGTTCTTCTGAAATCGACATATCGACATATCATGCACTGATGCCTTGTCAATTTTGTCTGCTAAAATATGAGCCCCAAAGCCAGTCACCACCAGCTGTATAAACTTCAGTGGGGGGATCATCTTCGGATTCGCCCATGTTCGCCCCACCGAGGTTGGTGCAGAAGTACTTCACTGGTTTGGGTCGTGGTTTGCAGGACATTTCACTTGATGACCAGAGTTCCAGTTGGGATCAGTCAAGCTGTGGGTCCCATGGTCACGCGATTTTTTAGTCCCCAGATGGGTCATGCCATGTTTGGCTTCAGTGGTCAGTTGATGGCTGTGTTCAGTCAATGCGGTGAAGGACACTCACACAGCGATGACGGGTGATAGCAGCTGCTGAGCGGCAATGGCACTGAGGCCTTCGTAGGACTGGCCAACAAAGATACCCAGAGACCGAAGAAATATAGGAAGATAGGAAGGGATTTCTCGAAAGATCCGTTGGCAATACCCAGATGCAATACCCAGATGGGTCCAGGGATGGGCCGAAGTCACTTCCCCTACTTTTGGCTTCGGAGTTGACTGTACTTGCCTGGATGTTCAAAGCCTTTTACTGTATTTTAAGTAGTCACTAAGTAGTCTTTGTTGGACAGGTACAATTGGGACTGCTGATGACATTCCCAGCAAGATTCAAACCCAGCCAGATTGATGACCGATGGACAGCTGATGCTAGCCGTTTTTTGTTTTTCCAGAGACGACTGACTGTCACCTTTCACAGGAAATTTCTCCCCAATTATTTGACATACTTAGATTATCTTAGATTATAATCCCATATACACTCTGTCAACTGTAGCAATGGACAATTCCCCTTAAAGATGATTTTCTGTTTTTCCCATGAAGACCTTCATTTTTTTGGGGGGATTTCCAATGTGCCAGGTTTGATGACCAAAGGGTTTGGTAATCCCATTTACAGGTAGTAGGAACCCACCATCCCTTAGGTTGTTCACGGTACCAATGATGCCCTGCTGTTCACGTCCGAACGATATTTCTTGAAAAGTCTATGTTGGGATGTTAATCTACCAAACTCCCCTAAAAGAATGAGAAAATGAGAAGAACATGCTGGGTCAACCCCTCAGTCAAACCCTGGTTTCCCGTACGTTTGCTGGAAAGTCAACCCATTGATTCAAGGGATGCTGATTTCAGCATCATTTACCAATCGTTTTGATCCACATCGGCTCTGGTCATCCATCCAGGCTTGTCTCAAATATAGGCTATCCCATGTAATCCATTGGTGTTCAATAATAGTTCCCCAGTCCCCCCTATTGAAATTGATATCTGCAGTATTTATTTATTTATATATATATATACATTATTATGAATATGGACATATATATATATATATATTTTTCCACATGGCACAACGTAGCGTGAGCTGCGGCCAAGCATTCATTCAGTGAAACGCAGTTACTTCGCGTAGTCTGGTCCTGCACAGTGCCCGTAGTTCTGCACAATCATACTACTAGCACGTTCGACAAAAACGCTTTTCACTGCGATGGACTCCTCTACTGGGACATATATAATATATATTATGTGATAAAACACCAATTTTCGGACACACCATGACACACCCAAAGATCATAGATTGTTGTTTACATTCTCATATGCAAAATGCATGTTAATGTTCATTAGATCCACATTGTAAGAACCATCAACCAACTGGGTGTTTCACCCCCCACAACTGATGGTTATCAGTTTTTGTTCCATCCCATTCAACCATTATATCAGCATACAGTTTGTGATTAATTCCCATGACATATCACTTTCCATATTTTTCCACTATATACCCATGACATTGCCATAAATTAAGTTCAACCCTACACATCCGGCATATTCCCATCAGATCCCCACGTATAAATCGCCGGCGAAATCACCGTGAAATCACCCAGAGATCACCAGCCCTGTTTAAGGCGTGTTGCCCCAGAAGAACGTGAAGCAGCTGCCCACGCTCCCAGCTACCACCCCGCGGGGAGGTCTCTTGAATGACCCCAGGGCCAGAACGCCCAACAGACAAGGGTGCGGAGGCCCAGAGGTGCAGGAAACAACGGAAATTGGTGGTTTTTTATGGGGGTACCCCTATTAATGGATGGTTTAGAATGGAAAATCCTACCAAAATGGATGATGAAATAGGGAAGCGCTATTTCAGGAAACCTCCAAATACCAGAGGAAATGGGCGAGGTTACTATGGGACAGATATGGAAATTTCTTGCAGTTTACAGAGACTGATATAATGGTGTTCCGTTGAAAAATAGGTGCAAAAGGTAGATATGACCATCAACACTGGTGAGAACGCTGGTATAAGCATTAAACATATTCACCAAATATTGGTTTTACCATCAACAAATGGATCTTTCCTTCAAAGAGTTCGGATGATACAATTATATATCACATTACATAATGACAATAGTGTTCTTTTTTGCAGCAGGCATGGTGAGTTAACCAGCCGAGGGGTGATTTACTATAGGAAACCATCCGAGATAGAGGATACCTTCAAAAACGGAGAATACCTGTCATTTCGGAAATGAACACCAACCTTGATTTTGGGGTATCCTATTTACAGACAGACCAATAGGTCAATAGGTGCTGTAGGTAGCAATCAATATGTTTCATATCAGATGTTTTTTGTCACTGTCACTTTCCAAAAAAGGTGATGTAGTTTGCAATCAATATGTGTCATTTCAGATGAATTGATGTTCATTCGCTGTCACTTTCCAACCCCTTCCAAGCCCCTTCCAAGCCCCTTCCAAGCCCCTTAGTGTCTCATCAGTGAACTTCAGCCAAAGTGATCCCATCATTTTGGAACGCTTTTGATCCCAGCTGCCGTCCAGGCTCTTTGCTCGTCCTCTGAGCAGTTTGCAAAACGAGCCGAAGGTGGACTGATCTCTGAGGCGTCCGCCTGAAACAAATCGAGGTCTGTTCATTCAGGCTTCATGAAGGGTCTATGGTCAAGAAACATCAGCTTTCCGATGGATCCAGGTGGTTTTGCACTAGTTGGGCTATGATTTTTGGGCTTAGCTACCTTCTCAGGAAGGACTTGGATCCGTAGGGACTAGACGACGGATGGCCCGAGAGCGTAGAGGAGCAGAGTCTTCTGTTGTTAGTATGGAGACACTATATTACAAGATAATATGATAAAGATGTATTATAGGCAGACGAGAAGAGTAGTATCAAGACAATATATGACTAGTACAAGACAATAGTTTGCATCGTATTTTTGTAAAGTTTTTCATACACAGAACTTTTTACAGACAGACGCTTTTGCACACAGAGACTTTTACACACAGACGCTTTTACACACAGACGATTTTGCACACAGAGACTTTTACACCCAAACACTTTTACACACAGAGACTTTTACACAGACGATTTTGCATACAGAGACTTTTACACCCAAACACTTTTACACACAGAGACTTTTACACACACAGACGCTTTTACACACAGACGCTTTTACACACAGAGGCTTTTACACACACACGCTTTTGCACACAGACCCTTTTGCACACAGACGCTTTTACACACAGACGCTTTTTACACACAGGCTCTTTTACACACAGACGCTTTTACACACAGAGACTTTTACACACAGACGCTTTTACACACAAGCGCTTTTACACACAGACGCTTTTACACACAGACGCTTTGACACACAGACCCGTTTACACACAGAGGCTTTTACACACAGAAGCTTTTACACACAGACGCTTTTACACACAGACGCTTTTACACACAGACGCTTTTACACAGATGCTTTTACGCACAGACGCTTTTACACACAGACGCTTTGACACACAGATGCTTTTACACACAGACGCTTTGACACACAGACGCTTTTACACACAGAGGCTTTTGCACACAGAAGCTTTTACACACAGACGCTTTTACACACAGACGCTTTTACACACAGACAAGTCCGGCACAAGTAAAATCGCAATTTTTCCTCAGTTTTTGACAATCGACCCTCATTTCGTGCGAAAGGGTTGCTCCGGGACAAGTAAACTCGCAATTTTTCCTCAGTTTTTGACGATCGGCCCTCATTTCGTGCGAAAGGGTTGCTCCGGCACAAGTAAAATCGCAATTTTTCCTCAGTTTTTGACGATCGACCCTCATTTCGTGCGAAAGGGTTGCTCCGGCACAAGTAAAATCGAATTTTTTCCCCAGTTTTTGACGATCGACCCTCATTTCGTGCGAAAAGGTTGCTCCGGGGGCAAGTAAAATCGCAATTTTACCTCAGTTTTTGACGATCGACCCTCATTTCGTGCGAAAGGGTTGCTCGGGGGCAAGTAAAATCGCAATTTTTCCTCAGTTTTTGACGATCGACCCTCATTTCGTGCGAAAGGGTTGCTCCAGGACAAGTAAAATCGCAATTTTTCCTCCGTTTTTGACGATCGACCCTCATTTCGTGCGAAAGGGTTGACGTTTCGTGACTCGCCGCCGGCACCACCCTCGGCCTTAAGAGAGAAAGATAAAAAGAAGGCGTGAGAGAGAAGGTGAGCAGGTGTGAAGATAAGAAGATGTGAAGATGAGCAGATGTGAAGATGAGCAGATGTGAAGATGAGCAGATGTGAAGATGAGCAGATGTGAAGGAGAGAAGATGTGAAGATGAGCAGATGTGAGAGAAGATGTGAAGATGAGCAGATGTGAGAGAAGATGTGAAGATGAGCAGATGTGAGAGAAGATGTGAGAGAAGATGTGAAGATGAGCAGATGTGAGAGAAGATGTGAGAGAAGATGTGAGAGAAGATGGGAAGATGAGCAGATGTGAGAGAAGATGTGAGAGAAGATGTGAAGATGAGCAGATGTGAGAGAAGATGTGATGTGAGAGACGTGTGAAGATGAGCAGATGTGAGAGAAGATGAGATGTGAGAGGATGTGAAGATGAGCAGATGTGAGAGAGATGTGAGATGTGAAGATGAGCAGATGTGAGAGAAGATGTGAGAGAAGATGTGAGAGAAGATGTGAAGATGTGAAGATGAGCAGATGTGAGAGAAGATGCGAAGATGAGCAGATGTGAAGATGAGCAGATGTGAGAGAAGATGTGTGAAGATGAGCAGATGTGTGAGAGAAGATGTGAGCCAGACCCCCACTATTGGAAGAACCCTGCGCTCAGACGCTCTCGGGAATTAGAAAGGACTTGGAATTGGGTGACCAAGGAACCATTCCTCCACCGAAAGAAGATGCAACAGAGTCCCCAGCTGCCCGTGGTTGAGCAGACCGCAGCATGCGCTTCGTCCAAGCTTTTTCCAACGGCTATGCATCAATGCAACAGCCGAGAGCTGGTGGTAGATTTCAATGAACATGAGTGATTCAGTTTGAAATATGGATGATATGGATGCCCCCTGTTGGAAAGTCAAGGCTGGAACCGCACCCCCCCAAAAAAAAAACGCTGATTGAAATTAAACTCCAACATACTCGAACCATGATTTGTTTATTAGGATGACCGTGCAAGAGTTGAATGTGAAGTGATGTTCGCACGTCCATGGTGATGGTGAGAGGGGCGGCGGCCAGGGATTGATCACACCGTGCTATTGATTTCTTGAAGTCGGGTGAGTCTGGAGTCGTCGCAGTATTGACCCACAGGTCATCATGATCATCATGATCATCATGTCATACAAGTAGAAGTGTATGGAATATAAACAGAGAAAGTATTCTGAAACAGCACTTGATTGTACAATTGATATGCTTAGGCAGCATAATAAAAACTGTAAATAAAAAATACACCATCTTTCCTATGCATTCTGAAACGTCTTGACATCTTGAAAGCTGCCACCGGTTCCAGCGCAGAACAAGAGATGATGTAGTGATGTAGTGGTGATTTTCTCCCAGTGCGGCAGTTTGGTGTGACCGAATGGATATTTTTTCACATGGGCGGTTCACGAGTGGAAAAAAGGATGTAGCCTGCAGATTCCCAGGTGATGTGCCAACATCTGGTTATGACTAACAGTTTGCCATGGAAAGATCCACCATTTTTAATAGGTAAACCGGTAAACCATCCATTTCTATGGGCCATCTATACCATGGCTATGTTAAATAACCAGATGATTTAAACATCCAAATTTTCAGAGCCAACCTATCGGTCCTAACATGTCCAAGGCATGTTGCTGCCAGAAAATAAAAGCCCGTGGCTTTGGCAACCACAATATCTAGTTTGGTACTCTATGGACCCCTAGATCTTATGGAACCAAAAGGGCTCCAAGGAATACGCGTTCCTTATCGTGTAATTGCTTCTGGCTGTGGCAATTTGATTCGATTCTCCAATCTATGGGCTGGTCTTGAGTCGCTACTAAGACTAGACCTGAGTCGAAGTGACCAAATTGTTTCAAAACGAATTGCATACACAAACTGGGCTTGATCACTACATGATCCTTTCTTTCTTTTTGATGATGAATACCAGCTTACTTGGCCTGCACCAATGTCTATATGTTGGGATGTGTCCGGGGTTGAGCTTGCATTTCGTCTGTCCTTTCCAAACTGCCTGCAGCGCAGCGCGCAGTTTGCCTGCTGCCCTGCCGACGGCCTTCCTTCAGGGGATGTGGCTCTTTTTCGGATCCAGGATTGCTGAACGGCTGTTGTAAATCGGGAAATTGCACCTGTTTCCAATAGAAATTGCACCTGAACATTGTGAAATGGGAAGCCCGACATGCTGTCGGAAATTGTGCCCGGAATGCCATTGGATTGATGGTATGAAAGAAGTTGAAAATCATGGAGCAGTTCGAGAACGAAATCGCCCACCCAGCACGGAGAGTTCTCTTCATTTAAGTAGTCATTTATGGCATAGTCATCCCAATTTTTGGTAGGGTGAGCCTTAAACCACTCCCATCTTCAGCAAACTCCTTCATTCGCACAGTGCAGACCCTGGCCATGATTCCTTCTCGAGAAAAGGTCTGAATGAGCGGAAGCTCGTTATAGGCGGATCATTGGTCGGTAATGTTGGATAGACCAGACCCGAAGTTATCATGCAATATATATATATATACTGTATACATACACAAAACACACTAATATATTATATATATATATATATGATATATGTAATATGTTATGATATTATATTTACATATACATTGTATATTGCAATGTCATA